GCCCCGCGGCCGCCCTGCCCGCCCTGGCGCGGTGGGTCGCCCCGCACGCGGGCTGGGATGCGCGCGGGGTCGGCAGGGACGGGGCAGGAGGCATCTCTGTCCCGGGATGCGACAGTCCCGTTTCCTTTGGTGGCCCGGCGCCGCGGCGCTAACTCTGGGGAAGTTGGTGGCGAAGTTTCCGAGCGCCGCGCGGGTTCCTGCGAGGGGAGCGCGGGGCGGGCGCGGCCGCGGGAGGCGAGGGCTGAAGCTCCTCGCGGCGTCTTTGTTCTGCTCCGGGGCAGAGACCTGGCTCCCGGGCTCCGCTCAGCGAGGCCGGACCTGCGGCCCGGGCGCGACATTCCGGACCCAGCAGGGACCCTTCCCTCTGCGCCCCCCGCCTCTGCAACCCCCAGCCCAACCCAGGACGCAGCTCCCAGTCACCAGGCTCTGCCCCATCCCTCTCCGCCCCAACTTCTACCCACCGAGCCCCGGGTCTGGGATGGAGGCGAAGGGGCGCGGGGGCGCGGGACGGGGGGCCCCACACGGAGGGCGTTTGCTTTGGAATGTTTGCTTTTCCTTTGCCCCAGAAACTGCTTCCCCTTGCGGCCCGCACTCTCCCCTCTTCCCCAAGTCCCGCTTTCCTCTTCAATTCTGGGAGAGCTGGAGGGAAACTCAGGCGGCGCCCAGGCCGTGGGCCGGCCAATGCCAGGGCCGCAGTTGGGATAGGGGTAGAGGGCTGTGGGGTGGTGAGCATGGGGACCCCAACTCCGAAGGTCGAGGATGGCTGGTACAGCTGGGGCAGGACTCAGGAGCCGTTCCTGGTCTGACACCTGATTTGCCGGAGAGGGCGGTGAAGAGGGACTGAGAGGGGATGCTTAGTCAGGACGTGCTGCGCCAGGGGGCAGAGGACGGGGCGGCGGCCGAGGACCCGAGCACCCCACTGGTCGGCAGGCAGGACCCGGCAGTGGTGCCAGGAAGGCTGCCGGTGAGGAGCCCCTGGCTCCAGGGTCAGAGGGAGCGCAGCCAGCTCGATAGCCCGATAGCCCGGCCGTAGCTCCAGACCTGGGGGGTCCGGGGTCTGAAGAGGCGGGCGCGGTGGGGAGCGGGACCCGCGGTCGGAGCCCGGAACGAGGTGCGCAGCGCCTGCAGCAACAGGTAGCTCCGCTGGGGTGGGGGAAGCTCCAGGCGAACCCCAAACTGGCCTTTGTCCCGGGGGTTGGAGGCTCGCCAGTGGGCATCGTGGGTGGGTGGTTGGGCGCGGGGCAGAGTTTTCCAGCACTTGGAGACCTTGGGGTCTCTCGGAGTTGTTCTGGCGCTGGGCGGAGAGGAGTGGGTCCGCGTGGAGGGCCGAGGATGGAGAGCCTGCGCACCCCGCGCCGCTGGTTGTGTAAGCGCCCCATCCTCTGGGGTGGACCCTCCACCCTTGGCGTTTTGTCTCTTGGGATGATGCAAAACCCACAGAAACTCGATGCCAAAGGGGGTCGTTGGCACCGACGGGCAGGGAGAGTGCAGACAAAGAGGTGCGCCTCCCGGAAACAAGGATTTGGGAGAGTTCTCCCTAGACTTGTGCGCCCTGGGGAGGGCGTGGGGGACGAAGTTCTAGGACGGGCATCCCCTGGGGAAGTTTCGGGCGAGGTACTGGAGGAGAGGGTCAGGCAGAGTCGCGAGAAGCTGGGGACAGAGCAACCCCGGCTCGCCTCGGAGCCTCCGGAGCCGGGAGGGAGATGCGGGGAGGGGGAGGGGGCGGGGAGGGCGG